CGTCGATGGAGTTGTCAATCGCAAACTATACTTTATTTCGGCTTGACAGGCGCGACAAACCCGGAAGTGGTGTATGTTTGTATGTTAATAACTCAGTGTTTAGTCACCTACGTCCCGACTTAACAGCCGATGGCGTTGAATGCATTTGGGTAGAGATCAAAGCTCACCCACAACCTCTTCTTGTCGGGTGTATTTACCGCCCACCGAGTCAGTCACTAGCTTACTGGCAGACTTTCGAGGCCATGTTACACAAGGCATCGGGAGAAGCCAAGAATATTCTGCTTTGTGGTGACTTTAATGTTGATCTGGTCAGTCAATCTCCCACATCCCAGCATGCCTCCTTGCATGACATCACAACCAGCTTAGGCCTGCATCAACTTGTAAAATCTCCAACACGCATAACGCTGCAAGGGAGCTGTACTCTATTAGATCATGTCTATAGTACAGCTCAAATCATATCCCCGCCTGATGTGTGTCCAGTTCCGTTCAGCGACCACTGTGCTATTGCAACCAAGATTTGTGTTAAACCAGTGCCGACAGCATTGCCTTCTCAGCGACTTTATCGAAACTTCAAGAGAATGGACTTCGTATGGATATTTCTTGCGCCAACCTCTGTGAACTTCGTGGGTCCTGCGATGACATGTGGCAACAGTGGCTGACTAAGGTTGTGCCCATTCTTGATGCTCATGCTCCATTGCGCCACGCGTCTTCCCGACCAAGACAGCATTCACCATGGGTCAATGAACATTTGTTCCTGTTGATACGACGACGTAACCACGCTCATCGGAAATGGCTGCAATGTAAGTGCCAGACTGATTACGATGCGTTTAAAGAAGCCAGGCGTATCGTGACTCGTATGAACCGTGAATTGAAGACGAATTTTTTTCAGTCTAAGTTCACCAGTGTTCAAGGTAATCCCAGGAAAACGTGGAAGGTTTTGAACGAGTTATCCGGAAGACAACGTGTCCAATCCGTTCCACAATGCTCTGCAAGCAACATTGGGTGTGTATTTGCTGATGTTGTCAGTGATCAACAACGAACACCTGAACTGTGTCTTCCACAGGGCCCAGTGGGACCTAAGGGTTTTACATCCTTCAGTTCGGTGTCAATAGGTTGCGTGCGTAAACTGTTGGGTTCCTTGGACACCAGCAAAGCGACAGGCAGTGATGGAATACCCGCATTTCTTCTGAAGTCCTGCGCTGATTTGCTAGCTCCCTCCTTAACATTGATATTTAATGCATCTCTTGCTGTTGGTTCTGTGCCGGACGGCATGAAGTTGGCACATGTCACGCCGGTATTCAAGGCTGGAAATCCTCAAGATCCGGGAAATTATCGCCCTGTGTCTCTCCTGCCTTTTGTGCCGAAGCTGTTAGAACGAATTGTCCATAGACAACTATCCTCATTTCTGGACAAGGAGAATTTGTACCCTCCCTGTCAGTTTGGCTTTAGACGTCAACATTCAACGGAAGACGCTCTAGTTTTCGTCACGGACACGTTTGTTCGCGCTCGCGATGCCGGACAAATTACTGGTGCTGTGCTCGTGGATATGTCCAAAGCATTTGACAAGGTCAGGCACCAAGTGCTCATTAATGATTTGTTTGAGCTTGGCATATCCGGTTCAGCATTAGTTTGGTTTGCCGACTATTTGTCCAATCGTCGCCAAATAGTGCACATTGCTGAGAACTATAGCCCTCCTTTCCCCTGCATGTGTGGCGTTCCCCAGGGCTCTGTTCTTGGTCCGCTGCTTTTTGTACTCTATGTTCGTTTGATCCAGTCCATTGTCTCCGAGTTTTGTGTGAAAGTTATTCAATTTGCTGACGATATTCTATTGTATGTTTGCGGTACGCAGAAGAATGCGCTTAGCAACTCCCTGTCTGCAGCTGTCTCAGCCATTAGTACCTGGCTGTCAAACCGCAATTTAATTCTAAATGCTCGGAAGACACAAGTGCTCTTCCTGTCTACGCCACATATTACTGACCACCAATTTGCAGTCTACTGCCATGAAGTGCAGCTCAAGCAAGTGACATGTGCAAAGTACCTTGGAATACATTTGGACCAGGAACTTTCTTGGAGCACTCAAGTTGATTCTATGGTCTCCAAACTAGCCAGTAAAATTGGTATTCTGTTCCGAAATCGACACAATATTCCGCTGACTTGCCGAGAAACCTTCGTAAAGTGCCTAGTGTTGCCAGATTTTCTATATGCATCAAATTGTTTTTCTGCTGGCCTTTCCTTAACCCAGTTAGGTAGGCTTGAACGAATGCTAAAGCGAGCTTTGCGTTCAGTGTACGATACTGGTTTTTGTAGCCCATCAAGCCCTTTATTTGCGAGACTTGGTCTAGATCGTTTGGCAACCATGTATTGCAAGAAATTACTGTATCTGACGTGGCGCTGTTTGGAAGGCCGCTGTAGTGTCACATTAAGTCAAATGTTCGAGCGTTTAAATAATGGTCTTGCAATGCGCAGCCTTGTATCACGCACTCTTAAGTTGCCCATGCTCAGAACTGCCTTTGCCCGTCATGGCGCTTCCTTCGAATGTGCTAAGCTGTGGAATGATTTGCACCCTCTAGCTCGCTGTGTGGATAACTCCGCCCGTTTTAAGAAACTGTTACCCCAATGCCTTGCTTTTTCACGCTGGTAATTATGACTTTCAGCTATGCAAAATGCGAACATGATCACCTATCCAATACCGGTAGTCTATTATATTAATTATTCATATCTTTTTGCATCTTTCCCTCGAGTGGGTCTATTGTTATTAGGCAAATGTCTGTTATAGTCACCACTATAAATAAAAAATCCAATCCAATCCAAATCCAGTCAGGGGTGCCGCAGGGCTGCATCCTCGGCCCAACGCCGTTCCTGATCTACATCAACGATGCAGAGGACCACCTACCTGAAGAGGCTAAACTCGCAGTATATGCCAACGACACCACGGTATATAATATTATGTGTATCACAACCCGAGCCAATATCCCAGATGGAGTCGCAACGCTCCAGCAGGCTGTTGATGCACTTGCCAACTGGGGTACCCTCTGGCGAATCAGGTTTGAGCCGACAAATTCGCAAGCCCTCACGATCACCCACCGACGATCCCGCCACCCAGTTCCCTCTATCACATTCCAGGAGACCGACGTACCTGAGGTGGATCAGCTCCGCCTGTTAGGAGTAAAATTTGACTACCAGTTATGCTTCAAGCAGCACATACGCTCCCTCACAGCGACTCGGCTTCTTCCGCAAGGCTCCCAAGGCTCTCAACCCACGATACCGTGCCGTAGTATACCGTGGGTTTGTTCGGCTGATCCTGGAGTATGGGATGTTAGTATGGATGAGCGCAGCAACCTCCACACTAGCCTAGTTCAAAGCCCTCCAACGTAGGGCACCCCACGTCATAGGTGAAGGCTGCTACCTGCCCAGCCTGGACATCCGTGGCTCTGTTGCTGCCTTCTGCTACCTGTTCAAGCTCCACTATCTGACTGGCCCTGCAATGATCACAGCCCTCCTATCTCCGCCAGCACCAGCCTGGGCCCGCACCTGAGCCAGCGTGCGCACAATTGCGAGCCACCATCCGCTCCAGCCGACCCAGATTGTCCCACCTCAGTCTCGGAACAATGTCCTTCGGTCCTTCCCCCATTGTATGATTGACACCTGGAATTGCCACCCAACCTCTATCCTCATTGCTCTCCCCTCCCAGAAATCGATGCAGACCTTCAAGAAGAAGCTCTATGTCCACCTGAGGCATTTTGACTGGGACTGGGCTATCGACCGCCTCTAGCCTCCTCCGGGATTATGCCCCTGGTTCTCCCACCCAAGCCTAATTGTCGCCAATTCTGAGTAGCCAATCTCCACTGCTACCCTATTGCACCCTTCATTTGACACTCTCCTTTCACTCCTATTATCTATTTGATTATTTGCTATTTTCTGCTGTGCTCCAAAACTAGATCCTCTCCTTTCTTCTAAGTCTTCCATTTCTCCTGTGCTTTTTTCCCCTCATGCTTATGCTACCCTCCCTTATTTCGTGCGCCTGCCATGTGAACATGCAGAGACTTCTGGTCGGTTCAGCATGGCCAGCCCACCCAGCACCAGCTCACCCAATGCTAGCCCCAAGTGCCTGCCGGTGAATTGTGTATTTTGTAAAAAATACAATAAAATAAAAAGTACCGGCTTGGAGATGAACATATTTTCACTTCTACCTTCATTAGTGATGTCTCTGCATCATGGACGATGTCCACTTCGGACTCCGTAATCTTGTTTCCCATCCTCTTCAAAAGCACAAAGTGAGTGCTGCTTATATTTTGTATGCTGTATCAGTTGAAATCAGTCTCCGTTCTAGCAACACCGGCATGCAAAGAAATTACCTGCCTGAATATATTCCGCAATAACATTTCTGAACGACTAAGTTTGTTCTTCGAAGATGATGGATAGCACAATCTACTAACCAGAACGTCCCCTCAAGAGAGATTCTATCTGAAGCCTGCAATATGTTCGCTTACTTCTTTTGGGAGAGGAGCGCACACACACCACACTCGACCCACAAGTAGACTACGCGGAGATCGAGAGTTGATCGAGATATTTCTTGCTCACCTCTGATGCCTTTGCATGTGAACGAAAACATTTTGTTGATCGCGTGAATGTCCACAGTTGGGTCGTAGTATTTTGACGTAGATCCTGTCACCGTTCACAGAAAAATTCGCGTTTGTTTGTGACTGATCATAGGGATTCAAACTGGTGTGTGACTTTATTACTGCTCTTCCGGGATTTGGGACTGTTTGATTGGTCATGGGGATCGTGATAGTTGGAGGATCGTGATCGGTCATCCAGACGTGACTGCTCACTGAGTCCTACATAAATATATATATACTCAATGATGCAGACAGCTATATAGGGTGACAATCAATTTTTCTCCAGACTTTTCCCGTTTGTGTCTTACCCTCAAACTAGTCAAGCTATATATATATGCTATGTGCTGCTTTTTGCTCCTGTACTTCAATTTTATTGGTCAGGGCTCAATTGCTCACATGCTTCATGTGATACTGCAACCCAACAATGCACTGATATCAAAGGAGGAAGTTTCATCTGTAATTGCACCACCGCGTATACAAAAAATGAAAAAACAGGTAAGAAGCTGTGACAAGGCCTCTCCATTTCAAACACTTTTTACTACCAGGATTTTCTGAAAACTTGTTCGGATTGGCTTTCCACCGGGTGGAGATAATCGTAGAAAAAGTATATTTCGGGAGTTTAAAAATCGGGATTAGCGCATGTGTAATAGGCTGCGCTACAGGAAAATAAAGATCCTTAGCAAAAGGACAGCAAACGTTAACTTTTGCAGCACTTACTCCCAGCCTGACCAAAGACATTACACAGTAACGGAACAAACGTTCTAGGGTTGGAAATCTTGGCCCTACATTCAGTCAGGTCATTTTGCAAAAAAAGGAGAACAAAACACGTCCATATTGAGACCAGAGCCGAGATTGCTTGCTCCTGTGAGTTTAGCTTCTTTTGGTGACCCTTGGGTTTGAGTTGAAAATGTCTGCGACCACTGTTCGTGACTTTTTCCCTCTATCCCATCTGGGAAACAAAGGACCGGTTCCGCGGACCTCCTGAGGAAGAAATTCACTGGCCTCTCGCAGACGTGGTGAATCTGGAGAACCTTTACCGTCATGGCCGCTGCGTGTACGAAAAGGGTTTCAAGAATATGCGCACAGCGAAAGCTCATGTTCGCCGTGCCCTTGCCATTCCGTCATAAAATATTTCCCCAAGGTATTCATCAGGAACGGCAACAGAATGATGCCTTTATATTTTTGCATTTCTCGCACTTGTTTCCACAAACACTCATATTGCCATGGTTATCACTACTACCGCATGCGGTAGGAATGACAATGCGCTCCTCAATTAATCAATCCTCTCACCCATTTCGTCCATCAAGGCGAACACTTCAACTAAACGCTAACACCCGCCCTTCAAAACCAAGCACATAGAAAAATAGCGCTGCAAACCTCATTTTGTGAACTTAGACTCTATGAATATCAGCAGCATTCTCCATAAGTCATTTTACTAAGCTCAACTGCACCAGGGTTCTTAGCCAGATATCATCTCAACATCGGAAACCTGGCTGGATCCAACCATGCTAAGCACAGAAGTATCCATTCACCACTTTTCCGTGCACCGTCTCGACCTTGGGGAAACTAGAGGTGGTTGTGCTTGTTTGTATGTGAACAAAAAACTGTGTTTCCGGATAGAAGTTGCTTCGCCTCTCAAACCCTGTCTTGTTGGATAACTTTACCGACCAACTGGGCGTCCCGTTGCTTACTAGCAATCCCTTGAGGCTGCAATTACTGAAGCTTCTAGCGATAGAAAGGATAGTGTGATGTGTGGTGATTTTGATGTTGATTTATCGTGTTCTGGCTCTTTCCAAACTTGCCTCCTTGACATAATGTCTAGTCAAGGTCTCCAGTAGACCTCCAGTTGTTCTACCCAACGTCAGCTTTAGAGGTTCATGAGGTATTTGCCTTGTGCAGTTAGCAACTTTCTAATGTGACGTTAGACGTCCAACATGATTTTGTTTGCTATCACTCGGCTTCTACTTTACATTCATCATTGTCACCACGCCAGTATACTTTGTGACATGTAGTTATTTCACGCAACCTTTCTGTTTTTATTTCTTTCTCCTTGTGATTGACTTAGCACCTGTGATAGTTGTGTCGGTAGAGTTCAAAACACCTTCGTTCTACACTATTTCATTTGCGTTGATTTGTCACACACAATAGCTCGTTGAATGCACTCACGTTGCGCCAATATCTTCCATAAAACAATATCATGTAGTTCAACCCATATCATTCAACTTCTCTCTCTCCTCTGATGAGTTCCCAATATCAAAATGGAACGAAACAAGGCTAGTGAGGAGCAACTTTTAGCTGTTGTGGAGTGTGACTGGTGCAGTGCTCGTGCTGATGTCTGCAAGCGTCGTCTGGTCTCCTCTGGTCAAAAGAAAATCTACCACTACTATTTTACGGACAAACTGAAGGTGGCATCACCAAATTCTATTTCCTATGGATATGCAAGGCCGTGGCGGCTGGGGCGGCTGAGGCCGCCCACCTTTTTTTTTTTTTTTTTTGGAGCATACCACAACAAAGCGTGATGATGGCAGCTCAGCGGAAATGTAGCAAATTCTAGTCCGCGATCGTGATTTGCTGCAGAAAAGTCTTTCATTGCTGTAACACTGATATTGCACCAAATGCCTGGTAATGCTTGCAATTGGCTTCAATTTTTGAAATTTTTCCGGAGGAGGCTAATGCTTGTCCCCGATCGTACCGTCTTCTTGGTTTGCTGCAGAATCAAAAAGTATTCCATTATAGTAGTAGTAGTATTCTTTTATTTATAGTGGAGAAACCAAAACAGGCAGATGCCTAATAACAATGGACCCACTGTCTAGGGTGGAGGAGGGGGCAGACATTGCTAATGGTAAATAGTGGCAGCAAAATACAGCAGTTCCAGCACAGCTACAGAAACATGGGCGTAAAGCTAAAAGCAGGCAAGAATGTGTTGCAAAGTGCTTGACTTGAAGCCGGCCAGTTTGGTGATGCCTCGGATATCCGCATGGAGGGAATTCCAGAGAACTGCGCCAGCATGTGTCACCAATTTAGTAAAATGTGCAGTAGTAGCTGCAGGGACGATAAGCAGGTTTATGTTGCCTCCTCGAGTTCTTCGTGACAGAACAGGTCGAAAAAAAGTTTCAAACAATCAACTTCCTGAAGAATTTAGACAACGCCATAATATAAAGCAGAGCAAGTTTAAAGTTGAATGGTAGCGCGCAAGGGAGAGACATGTACACGCTCAAGCAACGTAACAGTGGGAGTCCATGGGGGCACTTTACATGCAGCATGCAGTGCGCGCTTTAAGAGCCTTTTCAGACGGAGGTCCTGGTGAACAGATAGATATGGGGCATAAGCATTGGATGCATATAGAATCTCAGGCATCACAAAGCATTTGAAGTAGCAGATGCGACATGAGAGGGGCAAAGATGCAGCATGGTGGACTAAGACAGCTATTTGAGCAGACACCCTGATAACAACACGTGGAACCATTGTCTGCCAGCACATTGACGTGTCGAAATGTAATCTAGATACTTGGGCGATGGTACCACCGGCAGATCTTGACTATTGTATGTCACGCGTAGGGCAAAGGGTGGTGCTTTGTGAGGAGGGATTGGTAGGATTTGTGTTTTCATTTCATTCAGAATTAAGCCACGCTGTCGTAGCCAGTCACCCAGGTGTTGTACTGCACCCGACAGTCGCTGAGCAACATTTGCCTGTGTCTTGGCACTGGCTCGTAATGAGATGTCATCTGCAAACTGTGTTGGGGAGACACCGTATGGCCTGACCATATGAGGTGTATCTTGAACATACACAACGAAGAGCAATGGACCCAGCACTGCGGAACACCACAGCTACTTGCGTAGGCAGCACTTTTGCTTGGGCCAATCTGGACGTACTGTTGACGATCGGTCAGGTAGTGGGCCATCCACTGTAGAGCAACACCGTCTATGCCGAGAATGTAGAGGTCTCTAACTAGAGTCTGATGCTGCACTTTGTCGAAGGCTTTCAACATGTCTACAAAAGCGACCCCAGTGTAGAGGCGAACCACTTGTGCCTGTTTAATTTGCTTTACCGTTAACACTAGGCCATCAGAGGTGGAGTAGTGGCTATGAAAACCAAATTGTTCCATTGGTAGCAGATCTTGGCTCTCCAGAAAATCAGACAGTTGCTCATGAACAATCCGTTCAAGGATCTTGGAGACCACTGGGAGTAGGGAAACTGGTCTATTGTTCTTAGGTTGGCTGGGGTCACCGGATTTGAACAGTGGGCAGATGCATGCCACTTTAATTAATTCTGGGAATTTCCCCTCCCTCAGTGATCTGTTGAACAGCAAAGTCAGCGATGGGGCCAGCATATCCCCACACAAATGGAGAAGGACAGTTGGTATACCATCGCTTCCAGTTGCTTTAGTTGCAGCAGCTTTCTGAGCTTGGCTGTAGATATTGGCTGAAACGAGTTATAGTTCTTCCGCGGGGCAGCACCATAGTAACACTGAAATGGCAACAAATGCCCCGAAATGCTTGCCATTGGCTTCAATTTTTGAAATTTTTCCCGGGGAGGTCCCCACCCCCCTTCCAAGATGGTGAAGCTTGACCACAATGCTGTAAAAAGCGGGTATTTTGAACTTTATTTCCTGTTCCGTCTTTCGTGGACCCATAAATGGAAGAGTGCGTATTCATTTCTCAGCTTGGGTTCATGTCTGGACATGAATCCTGGCTATGCTTCACAGAAAAAAGAGCACTTTTTGCCTGTTTTCACTGAAAAAAGAGCACATTTTTCAGCAGAAGTTGAGGAACGCGAAAAGCACTAAGTGCGAATTAAAAAAGCACTTTAGGGAAAGGGCTAGTTGCTGCCATCAAGGCTGGCTGAGGGAATGAGCTGGATCCTTGCCGCACTGATGGTTCGCCAAGCCCCCACGAGATAGGAGTCAGCGGCCGCACGCATTACACTGAACAGACCCAGACTGCTCTCTAACCGGCTTTGCTCGCTCCACTGTGCACTTGTGACGCGCCATACAGCGAGGCTGAGAGAAACTGCGGCCGCAGGTGTCACACAGGACCGGCTTGATCTTGTGCTCAGTCCTGGTGCGGTGCGCGCAAGCAACAGCTTCACGGCATGCTGACCTCCAGGTACTCCGGCAGCTGATTGCATCCCACCAAGTCTCTCTCCTTGACAATTGCAATCTTGAGGTCAGCACGGATTGCATCTTTTCACTGCTTCTTGGGCTTGTGTTGAGGTCGGGTCTGGGTCAGTGAACCGAACAGGAGTAGCCCGGGCAAGCGTTTGGGTGACATGCGGATAACATGACCAACCCAAGTCAGTCTGCGAAACATAATCTTCTCTGTAACTAGCTCGGTATCACCCCACCACGTTCGGACTGTGGATGAGGAAAAGTGAACCTCTTGCTGCCTCTTTCCGCTGATGCCAAATATAGTCCGCAAGCATTGGTTGTGGATTAATTCAAAACAATGCACATCCCGCTGCAGGGTTTCCAGGTTTCAGAGCCATACAGCAATGCT